CTGGGATTCCGTGTATTTCCAAATATTGGAATTATCATTAAAGTTGTATATAATATTATATTTGTTCCATTTTCATGCTCCAATATTATGCACTTTTATCATCCTGCTCAGAATTAACATTATAGTTATGGTTATTCTAATGATGCTGAGAGTAATAAATGCATAACAATAATAATCAATATGTTTTTTTTAATGAGTAATATCGTTATTATGCTTATTGCTATTATCATTTATACTATGATACTCATTACTACCAATGTTATCGCTATTATCATTATTGTTGTATTATTATTACCATTGTCATCATCATCATTACCGCAGATAATATCATTATAATAATTATCATTACTATTAACATCATTACCAATAGTAATGTTGTATCATTATTATCATGCTTATCATTATCATAATCATTATCATTATCATCATTATTATTACTATCATTATTATTACCATTTGGATCATTACTGATAATAACATAAAAATAAAGATAGTGACAATATTAGTGATAAAGATTAGGATATGGATAAGGACAAGAATAATATTATTATAATCAATATTATCATAACTATGATTATGATTATTACTATATCTTACCACCACTATCAATATGATCATCGTTTTTATCTACTTTTAATATTGTCATTATCATAGTAGTAGAAGTACTAGTATTGCTATTTTGTTATTCTGTCGACAAAATTATTACTGACCTTATTATTACGATAATTATTATTAACATTATCATCATTAGCAGCAGTATCAAAATTCTCATTATTTTCATAATCATGACTATTATTATCTTTTCCATTACTATTAATATAATCTTCATTACCAGCAGTAGTCGTAATAGTACCATTAATACTAATAGTAGTAGAAGCAGTTAACAACAGCACCATCAGCAGTTGCAGAGGCACTAGTTGCACCAGCAGTAGTACCAATAGTAGTTCTAGCAGTACAAGTAGTACTGGTGGTGGTAGTGGTAGTGGTGATAGTGGTAGTGGTGGTAGTACATGTAGTAGAAGTAGTAGAAATAGAAGCAGTAGTAGTAGTAGAAGTAGTAGAAGTAGAAGTAGTAGTAGTAGTAGTAGTAGTAGTAGTAGTAGTAGTAGTAGTAGTAGTAGTAACAGCAGCAGCAGTAATAGTAGTAAAATGCTTATAATGATAATTATACTTATAGTTATAAATAGCTATATTTATAAACAATATTCAGCATTATCATATCGCCAAAGTAGCCATCATGTTTTTGCACCGTCACCCTGATTCGAACCACCATCACTAAATCAATCACCCACTACCGCTGCAGCATATGTAGTCAATATCAAGACAATGGAATGACCAAAGCATATTTCTACCTAATTAATATCTTAGAAACTATGTGTACGTGAAGACTGTGAAGCAGTAAATAAATAAATGTTTATTCGGTCAACGAACACACCACGTCATTCGCTAACCGCACACCAAATGTCCTTGAGGCAAGGCGAGCGCTCGTTTTATGGCGCGATATTCTACATTCTCAGATGTTCTGGTCTGAGATGGAAGCCAAGGGACCTAAGCTAGCAGCGCTAGGTTTGCATGGATCTTCGTCAGAGTGGCGGTCGTCGCAAGATGACAAGCAGAAAGCTGGCCTGGAGAGTGGTTCTGAGCGCAAGCTTACCTCGCGAAGTGAAAGGGAGAGTAAATGCGAATGTAATTTAGAAGAGGCCGAGGAGAAGATTGGACTGAGATTCCTGGGATAGGAATCGGAATGCGAGGAAATTCATAGTATTGGCTTTCCCGGGAAAGTGAAGAAAATGGAAGCAGTTAAGCAAATGGAGGTACGGTGAAAAGGAAACGAGTAGGTTCTTAATGATTTCAGTCATCCTCATTTCATTTAAGTAAGCCATAGTGTAGGATGCATGTAAACACGAGTAATCACTGGCGGTGTAATAAGAGCATTATTTTCTTTGCAGTCCCTCCCGTCCCCCACCACCTCTTTCCTGACCAACAAAACCCGGCAAACAAACCTTGAGAAGCGCCTGGGAAGCTTATCTGGCGAATTGCCCGCGCCACAGGTAGCATCTCCGCTTCCTCTTCAACATTCTCTTCGGCGGCATGGACAGCCATCACCAGCGCCAAAAGTAATATCCTCGTGATCGTACACCGTATCATCCTTTCTCCTTTTCTGTGGATACCTGAAAGAAAAAAAGATGTGATGAAGAACTCTTTTCGAACTCTATATAAAGTGGACAAAAATGTTTTGTGTTGGCCGTGCAAGAACACGCCACTACCGGTTTCATTCTAGGCGATTTGTTAAAAAAGTACAAAAGTTGAACCTTTCGAAAACTTGCTCTCTGACAGCTTCACCACTCACAAGCACATTATCTTTCGACGACCTAACTTTTAGTCAGCATCTCCACAATCACATTCTTTTTTCAGGATAGCGTAAGCCTTCAGAAATGTTCGGTAAGCAGTATTATATACAGGAATATTTTATACCGAACATCAGGTGAACACGACTACT